GGGCTCCGGGCGGAGCTCCGCGGCAGCGGGGCAGGCCGGGCCCAGCGGGGCCGCTGGGGTGCGCGGCAGCGGGCTCGGCGGGAGCTCCGTCCGTCCGTCCGTCCGTCCGTGTGAGGCCGAGGCAGGCGGCGGAACCCCGGCGCGGGCCGGCGGTGCTCGGCCGCGTTCACTGATGCCGATGTGGGCGCCGGGGGTTGTGTTTCCCCGGCGCTGCGGGTGCTGGAGCTGCTCCCCACGGTGGCTGTGCTCTGGTCCCGGTGTGACACCGGATCCGCCGTGAGGTGAAGCTGCTGCTTCCCCGGCAGCTCTTGCTGGAGCTGTGCTCGTGTGGAGGCTGAACCGGCTCTAACTGCACGAGTTTGGGGGTTTGTTATTATTTGTCACGGACTTTCTCAGAGCTGTTGGTGTGTCGGGGCTGTGATTTGTTAGATCTGCTTGCCCTTAGGCTCTGCAGGCTCAGACCTCGTGGGGGAAACGCCAGGATCCGGGTTTGGGCTCTATTTGAACCTGTCTCTAAAGAAGCTGCCAGGCAAAGCAGAACCTGCAGAGGTTTCCAGGCTCTGGAGGGAGCCCAGGCCCTGCAGGAAGCAGCAGCCACCTCCTGGAACTGCTCATGGACCTGAAACCAGGGGCTGTGAGTTAGGGTGACCCCAGGACCCCATTCCCAGGAGGGGTTACTGACCCCATTCCCAGCTCCAGGAGGGAAAACTGACCCCAGGACCCCATTCCCTATTCCAAGAGGGATAACTGACCCCAGGACCCCATTCCCTATTCCAAGAGGGATAACTGACCCCAGGACCCCATTCCCTATCTCAGGAAGGATAACTGACCCCATTCCCTATTCCAGGATGGATAACTGACCCCAGGACCCTATTCCAGGAAGGATAACTGACCCCATTCCCATTTCCACAATGGATAACTGACCCCAGGACCCCATTCCCTATTCCAGGAAGGATAACTGACCCCATTCCCATTCCCAGGATGGATAACTGACCCCAGGACCCCATTCCCTATCTCAGGAAGGATAACTGACCCCATTCCCAGGATGGATAACTGACCCCCCAGGACCCCCGGGGCTTCTCCCACCCATGGAGCTGATTGTGGGAATGGGCCTCCTCCAATTGATGAAGTGAATAAATTATCCTTTTCTCCTAAAAAAAGGGAAAAAAGCCCCAAAGTTTCTTTTTTCTGTTAGGTAAAAGGACACTTCATAAGACTTTAGGGACTTCACCTCAAACTTAAGGACAGAAGGCAAAAGGTCTTGTCTAGGCAATTAATGAGAAAAATAAGAGAACAAAGGAACTAATTGCCAAAAGGTCTTTTCTGAGCAATTCACTAGAAAAAGAAGAGAAGAAAGCAACTAATTGCTTTTATGGGGTGTTTTATTAAGAGCCTCTTGCCCCTAGCTGGAGTTTTTCCTATAAAGAGCTTTGTTATTTTGCCTTTTATTAAAACTTTTCAGTTCCCAGCACCACCACAGAAACCACCCTACTGATTTTACACCACCTACCGCAGCAGGGCTGCCTCAAATGCGACACATTTCTCCAAAATCTCATCTCAGAGAGATCCATTTGTGTCAGGGGATGACAGCCAGGGCCCTGTTTGCTGTTTCTCCTTGCAGCAGGAGCAGAGATGTCGCTGTCCAAGCGCGAGCTGGACGAGCTGAAGCCATGGATCGAGAAGACGGTGAAGCGTGTGCTGGGCTTCTCCGAGCCCACCGTGGTCACTGCAGCACTCAACTGCGTGGGCAAGGGCATGGACAAGAAAAAAGCAGCTGGTATGTCCAGAGCTGGGCTTGGAAAACAGCTCCAGACCTGGCCAGGGTGGAGGGGCAGGGGCACAGGGGGGTTCTGTCAGCCTCCCTGAGGTGAGGAGGGGGAATCTGTCAGAGCACACTCAGCTGGAGGGATTGGGATGGGTTAAAAAACACAAGTAGAAGTTAATTCCTCATCCAAGGAACTGGAAATGGTAATGGAAAACAGCCCCAGACCTGGCCAGGGTGGAGGGGCAGGGGCACAGGGGGGTTCTGTCAGCCTCCCTGAGGTGAGGAGGGGGAATCTGTCAGAGCACACTCAGCTGGAGGGATTGGGATGGGTTAAAAAACACAAGTAGAAGTTAATTCCTCATCCAAGGAACTGGAAATGGTAATGGAAAACAGCCCCAGACCTGGCCAGGGTGGAGGGGCAGGGGCACAGGGGGGTTCTCTCAGTCTCTGTGGGGTGTGGAGGGGAAAATCTGTGAGGCCACACTCAGCTGGAGGGATTGGGATGGGTTAAAAAACACAAGTAGAAGTTAATTCCTCATCCAAGGAACTGGAAATGGTAATGGAAAACAGCCCCAGACCTGGCCAGGGTGGAGGGGCAGGGGCACAGGGGGGTTCTGTCAGCCTCCCTGAGGTGAGGAGGGGGAATCTGTCAGAGCAGACTCAACTGGAGGCCTTGGGATGTGTTAAAAAGTCTCATAAATAAAAATTAATTCCTTATTCAAGGAAGTGTAAAAGGTAATTTTTCTACTATGCTTGTTTTGCCCATTACAGCCCTGCTTTGCTTCTCCCTTAATCCTTTAGTTTAAAGCTCCTGACAAGATGATCCACAGATCCCAGAGGCTTCCAGGCCTCCCTGTGTTTGTAGACTTGAATCCCACTTCAATTCAAGTGGTTTCCATCTTCCTAGGAATCTCTGTGGGTTCTCTCCTAGGAATCTCTGTGGGTTCTCTCCTAGGAATCTCTGTGGGTTCTCTCCAAGGAATCTCTGTGGGTTCTCTCCAAGGAATCTCTGTGGGTTCTCTCCAAGGAATCTCTGTGGGTTCTCTCCAAGGAATCTCTGTGGGTTCTCTCCAAGGAATCTCTGTGGGTTCTCTCCAAGGAATCTCTGTGGGTTCTCTCCAAGGAATCTCTGTGGGTTCTCTCCAAGGAATCTCTGTGGGTTCTCTCCAAGGAATCTCTGTGGGTTCTCTCCAAGGAATCTCTGTGGGTTCTCTCCAAGGAATCTCTGTGGGTTCTCTCCATGGAATCTCTGTGTGTTCTCCATGGAATCTCTGTGTGTTCTCCATGGAATCTCTGTGTGTTCTCCATGGAATCTCTGTGTGTTCTCCATGGAATCTCTGTGTGTTCTCCATGGAATCTCTGTGTGTTCTCCATGGAATCTCTGTGTGTTCTCCATGGAATCTCTGTGGGTTCTCTCCAAGGAATCTCTGTGGGTTATCTCCATGGAATCTCTGGATTCTCCATCCTCTTGCCCACCTCGAGCTCAGAATTCTGCGCTGATGGGATTTTCCTCTTTTGCAGACCACCTTAAACCCTTCCTGGATGACTCCACCCTGAGATTTGTAGACAAGCTCTTTGAGGCAGTGGAGGAAGGACGAAGCTCCCGGCACTCCAAATCCAACAGCGACCGGAACCGGAAGCGGGAGCTCAAGGTGATTATTGATTATTAATTATTGATTATTGATTGGCTTTTTCCTATGGTTGGGTGGCCTGGAGGCAGCACTGGTGCTCTGGCACACTCTCCTCTTCCAGAGAGGTACAGCTCAGAACGTTCAAGAGAAACGACTCCTCTCCATGATGAAGTGTGGGAGCCTTTACCTTGAGGTTCTCTTTCCCAAAGCCAAGGTGGAAGCCTGGCTTTGGCTTTGTCTTAGGCTGCTGGATGAATCCATGGGGATCCATCTCCCTTCTCCTCCGTGCTCCTTGTGCTTGTATCTTTATCTGGAGCCTGGGAGAGCTGCTCCCAGTGACGTCCCATCGCTCCCTGTGCTCTGACGCAGCACCTGGGGCTCTGTGCTGGATGATCTGGTGGGTTTCCATCCCCTTTCTCCCACCCAGAATCAACAATAGGTGGTTTTTGGCAACTCCTGTCCTAGCACAGGATTGATTCCAGCTGGGATTCCATTGCTCTGGTGTTTCTCCCTTGCCTGGGATGCTGGAAGGCTTGTGCATCCAAAGCTGTTTTCACTTCCTGTCTTCTCTTGAGGACTTTTCTCACCATCCTGTAGAATTCCATTTTGCCATCACTCTGCCAAGTCTGACAGGCCCTCTCCTTGCTGCTCCTACTCACAGTGATGTTCCTTTCACTCTTCTGAGGTTCCTATTTTATGGCAGTCTGGGTTTCCCCAACACTTGTAGTCAGCACTGAACCTTGGTGAGCCAGAGCAGTCCTGTTCAGGATCTGATCTCTTTGGGAGTGCTGGGACAAGCTTCCTCCACTCCCCATTTTCCTCTAGGAACTTCTTTTCTTCCCTCCATGGCAGTGGGTGCTGAGCTGGTCCCTGGGCCTGTGGGAATGTGAGGGTTGAGTGGGGCTGGAGGTCCAAGTGCTCCCCTGGGCATGGCAGACGTGGGGACATTGGCAGTGCCACCACTTGATGATGGCAGGAGTGTGGTGACAGCCTGCTGGGGAGAGCAGGTGCTGGCAGAGGGATCTGGTGATGGCAGCAGGGATCTCTCACTGGCAGAGGGATTTGTGATGGCAGCAGGGATCTCTCACTGGCAGAGGGATTTGTGATGGCCCCAGGGATCTCTCACTGGCAGAGGGATCTGTGATGGCAGAGAAATCTCTGACTGGCAGAGGGATTTGTGATGGCAGCAGCAGCAGGGCTGGGGCTGCAGCAC